TTTATTTATTCATGGGACATACACACACAGAGAAGCAGAGACAGAGGCAGAGGGAGAAGCAGGCCCCCTTTCAGGGAATCTGATGTGGGACTTGATCCCAGGACCCTGAGATCACCACCTGAGCTGAAAGCAGATGCTCAGCCACTGAGCCGCCCAGGTGCCCCTTCAAATCTATATTTTTGTATCATTTGGGTACATACCTAGTAGTACAATTGCTGGATCATAGGGTAGTTCTATGTTTTTTAAAGATGTATTTATGTATTTGAAAGAAAGAGGGTGGGGGGGGTGAGGATGGACAGAGAAAGAAGGAGAGGGGAAGCAGACTCCCTGATGACCGAGGAGCCCCACCTGGGCCTCCATTTCTAGACTGGGAGATCATGACCTGAGCCAAAACCAAGAGTTGGATGCTCAACTGACTGAGCCACCCAGACATCCCAGGATAGTTCTATTTTTAACTTTTTGAGGAACTTCCATACTGTTTCATAGTGGCTGCACCAGTTTGCATTTCCACCAACACTGCAAGAGGGTTCCTTTTTTCTCCTTATCCTTTTTTTTTTATAAAGATTTTATTTATTTATTCATGAGAGGCACAGAGAGAGAGAAGCAGAGACACAGGCAGAGGGAGAAGCAGGCTCCATGCAAGGAGCCTGATGTGGGACCCGATCCCAGGACTCCAGGATCACTCCCTGGGCCGAAGGCAGGCGCTAAACTGCTGAGCCACTCAGGGATCCCCTTTCTCCTTATCCTTGCCAATACCTGTTGTTTTCTTATGTTGTTAGTTTTAGCCATTCTGATAGGTGTGAAGTGGTATCTCATCGTGGCTTTGATTTGTATTTCCCTGATGATGAATAATGTTGAGCATCTTTTCATGTGTTTGTTAGCCATCTGGATGTCTTCTTTGGAAAAATGTCTATTCATATCTTCTGCCTATTTCTTAACTGGGTTATTTGTATTTTGGGTATTGAGTTTGACAAGTTCTTTATAGATTTTGGTAACAAACCTTTTATCAGATATGTCATTTGCAAATATTTTCTACCATTCCATAGACTGCCTTTGAGTTTTGTTGTTTCCTTTGCTGTGTAGAAGATATTTATCTTGATGAAGTCCCAATAGTTCATTTTTGCTTTTGTTTTCCTTGCCTCTGGTAATGTACCTAGTAAGAAGTTGCTCTGGCAGAGGTCAAAGAGATTGCTTCATGTGTTCTACTCTAGGATTTTGATGATTTCCTGTCTCACATTTAACTCTTTCATCCATTTTGGATTTCTTTTTGTGTATGGTGTAAAAAAGTGGTCCAGTTTCATCCTTCTGCATGTTGCTGTCTAGTTTTCCCAACACTTTTTTTGAAGAGACCATCTTTCTTCCATTGGATATTTTCCATCTTTGTCGATTAGTTGACCAAAAGGTTGTAAATTCACTTTTTATTTTATTTATTTTTTTTTTAAGTAGGCTCCATGCCCAATGTGGAACCCAACACAGGGCTAGAACTCACAACCCTGAGTTAAAGAATCAGATGCTTGACTGACTGAACCACCCAGGTGCCCCATAAATTCACTTTTTAAAGAGTATTATTGGGCAGCCCAAGTGGCTCAGTGGTTTAGCGCCGCCTTCAGCCCAGGGCCTGATCCTGGAGACCGGGGATCAAGTCCCATGTCAGGCTCCCTGCATGGAACCTGCTTCTCCCTCTGCTTATGCCTCTGCCTCTCTCTCTCTCTCTCTCTCTCTCTCTCTCTCTTGTGTGTGTGTGTCTCTCATGAATAAATAAATAAAATCTTTTAAAAAAAAGTTTAAAAAGTATTATCTGCAAAGTTATGCAAACATCTTTCATTGGATTTTATTTTTTTTATTATGGTTTTATTATTTTTTAAGTTGTTATAAATTCCATACAGTGTAATATTCAGTGTACGAAATAGTGATTCCATACTTCCATATACCACTGTGTGCTCATCACAGCAAGTGTACTCCTTAATCCCCATCACCTATTTCACCTATACCCCTACTTATCTCATCTCTGGTAATCATCAGTTTGTTCTCTCTCACTGGATTTTAAATAGAATCTAAACTTTTGACACTGGCCTATAGCTTTGTATAATCTGGCTCCTATCTATACATCTCCAATTATTTCATGACACATTTGCCTTTGCAATTGTTATTTCCTTACCCTAAAATCCTGGAATGCTTTTTCTACTTGCATTTAACATGGCTGGCTCATTTTGAAGGTCTCAGCTGAAATGATATTTCTACAGATAATTTTTTCCTGGACATTGAATCCAAAATAGCCCTCCAGACACCTGGGTGGCCCAGTGGTTGATCTGCTTTCGGCTCAGGTCGTGATCCAGGATCCTGGGATTGAGTCCTGCATCAGGGACCCTGCAGGGAGCCTGCTTCTCCCTCTGCCAGTGTCTCTGCCTCTCTCTCTGTGTCTCTCATTAATAAATAAATAAAACCTTTAAAAAACTGTAATAAATACTAAAGCCACTTTTCATATTAAGATACTACCTATTCAAATATTCAAATGGAGAGTAGTTATGTAGATCCAGACAAAGAATTTTAAGTCAGAACTTAATGTTTTCCAGGCAGAGGGAGAAGCAGGCTCCATGCAGGGAGCCAGATGCGGGACTTGATTCTGGGACCCCAGGATCATGCCCTGAGCTGAAGGCAGACGCTCAACCACTGAGCCACCCAGGTGTCCCATACTACAGTTTATTTATCCCTTATAGATTAATAAGGAAATCATATATTTACCTTACAGTAATACTAGGTTGAATGTGTTAAGTGACTTAAGAAAGTTACAATTTATATTTTATTGGCTTTAGGGCAAAACAGTACACATTAAGCAGGAACAATTAGGGAAAGACCTCAGGGTTTCAGAGTAGTTGACACTGGACTCTCAGGTCAAAATGGGAAGACCAAAAACAAAATCCTGAAGATGAGAAATCACTGTGTGTGAGGAGGAAACTGTGATATGGTTGGCATGGCTGGAGTTTAGAACTGTGGTGGATACTTATGTGTCATGCTGGACTGGAGCTCAACTCTGAAGGAATTCATTTCCCAGAAATAGGGTCTAAACTCTCTTCTAGCCGTTTGTCGCCACTCACTAATTCTCAAGCCTACAGTAATCTGGCTTTTCCTATCTCTTAACTCAGGCAATTCTATGGAAGGTCACCCCTAACCACAGAAAAAATATTGGACTTTGATCCTCTTCCTTCTTCCCCGCCTATCTGTGGTATTCAGCAATTTAATTTTCTTTCTTTACTGAAAACTCTTCCTCTGTAACTCATTCTGATAATATCTGTGTATCTTCCTCTGGTCCCTTTTCCATTGATAGATAACAAAAATGGGCTCCAATCAGGATATGCCTGTCAATGGGAAACAGTGATATCCTATAACAGATTCTACATTCAACTTCTTTCATTTCAACACAAATTTTTATGGAAAACATACTATATCCAAGATACCATGTGAGATGTTGTAAGAGGGGAAAGACCCCTGGAATATCCAGTCTTGTAGGGGAAAGAGATTGACAAATAAAGAATTAAATCTCAAAGCAGAAAGAGATAAGTGTTGATGATAAGCAGAAGCAGCATTCTGTCAATGTAAAAGGAGGGGCAACTAAAAATGATCCTGAAGATAAGCATTATCCATATCTGGTGTGCCTGGCTGGCTCAGTTGGCACAGCATGTGACTATCGATCTCAGGGTTGTGAGTTTGAGCCCCACGTTGGGTGTAGAGATTACTTAAAATCTTAAAAACAAAAAGAATTAGAGGCACCTGGGAGACTCATTTGCTAAGTGCTCATCTCTTGGTTTTCAGCTCAGGTTGTGATCTCAGGGTCTTGAGATCAAGCCCTGCATCCAGCTCTGGCTCAGCAGAGTCTGCTAGAGATTCTCTCCCTTTCCCTTTCCCTCTGTTCCTTCCTTCCACCCCAAGCATGCATGCACTCTCTCTCTCTCTCTGTCTCTCTCTCTCTAAATAAGTGAAGTCTTTAAAAAATAAAAAAATATATGAAAGAATTATTCATATCTTTCCAAGTATGAGAGGATTTATGCCAATGCTCCATTGGTTAAGAAAAAACTGTGATTTTTAAAGAAAAATTGTTTTTCCTTCTGTATTATTGGTTCATTATATTGCAAATATTAAAACTTCTTTTTAAGGTGATTACTATATCTAGTGGTAATGCCTTTCTCACTTGATCCCTGAACAATCTTATTTGGGATAGGTATTATTAGCTCTGTTTTACAGATGAAAAAGGTGAGGTTCAGAAGGGTTATCTAAGAATGTAGGCAACTAGACTCAAATAGAATTAAACTCTGTTCCTCATTATTTGAAATGAATTTTTTAGGGAACTACATGCAGAATGTTAATTTAAGTATACTCTTTTTGGTTTTTACAGAGTTGAGAAGTTAAATGCCAGCACTTGAACTGAATGGACTCACATGCCTCCAGATTTAACCCAGGACATTCATTTTCTTCAATGTCAGAATGACCCAGCAATCAGGTGCTTGGGGATATAACAACTCTTTCAATCCAAATGGATATAATTCAGTCTGTAATGTTGGTCAGAACAATGCAGCTTTCTAAAGCTGGTCTACATGGCAGACCTAAAATCATTAAAAACTGAAGTGTATTAGTAGTTGTTTGCAGTCCTCAATTCAGTTCCAGCATTAGGAAATCCAAAGACTGATGTTGTTTTCTATGTTCCACTTTTTTCTAAAACTGAGGTAATCAGTCATCTTCAGGCAGTAAAACCAGTTTGATGGGTACCCTCCCTACTTCCCCATCAGAAACTGGCTTCAGACCTTAGTGCTCACTGGCTGACAGAATTGGAGCAACAGGTGCAGCAGCGAAAAAAACTTTTTTTCACAAACTCCACAGAAGAGATTTTGTAAATAGAAATGAAAGCTGTGTAAACATAGTACCTGTACTTTCTCTAGTTTCCATGACACACTAGGAATCCAGCAGAAAAAGATCACAGTAGATAACCTACAAACCACAAAATAGAGATGGCTTGGGAGGTGGGAGTGGGATGAAGATTTTGTCTGGCTGCTGCTGCTTTTGTCCAAAAAGATCATCTAGCTAAAACTTTTGATTCAAGTGGTTAGGAACTCCAGAGAGTTTTCACTAATAAAAACGTGACCAAGATATAAGCCGACAACTCCATTCACTACAAAGGAAGTCAAAATAATTCTTTATTGACAGATAAGTAAAAAGATCTGCTCAGGTTGGAAATCTGGTGCGGTTTGTGCTCTATGAGCAGTTGGGGGAGTGCTACGAGAAGAGTCTGGGATGATGGAGGTGTTGAATTAGTCAGGATGGAATTCAACACCTCTATACTTATTCCTAGATGCCACATGAACTTTGCTTAGCCTTCTCTCCTTTCACTACCTACAATAAAGTGGCAGGGCACTTGGGTGGCTTCGTTGGTTGGGCATCCAACTCTTGATGTTGGCTCACGTCACAGACTCTGGGGTTGTGGAATGGAGCCCTGCCTCCGGCCTGCACTCAGCGTGGATTCTGCTTGTCCCTCTCACTCTGCTTTGGGATCCTCCCCTTGTCCCCCAGCTCTCGTGCATGCGCACACATGCAGGCTCTCATAAATAAATAAATAAAGTCTTTACAAAAAAGTGGCAGAGAAGTAGGCAACACTGGGAGCTGAGTATGCAGAACAGGAGTTTGTACCAGTTTATTGTGTTCAGTCCTAGATATATTTTGTTGTATTTTAACAGATTAGTACTTTTTATGTGATGTAGAAGAATTGATTCTGAGATTCTGATTCTGAAAAAAAAATCCATTAAATTGTTTTGCTTCATGGATTCCTAATGAATGAGCAAAAAACCACCCATAGTCCAGAGTTCCCTCTTTTGGCTTTTCCGTCCTCCGCTTTTTCTGTCCTCCGCGCTTCGTGCCACTGGCTGGGTGGGTGGTGCATTCCCCTGCATCCCTCAGAGCCCTGTCACACAAAATTGAGGAAATCATGACTTTCTGCTCACAGCCAGGGGAGAGGATGCCAAATCCATCATGATCAAGAAAAATAAAGATAATGTGAAGTTTAAAGGTTAGTGCTGCAGATACTTTTATACCTTGGTCATCACAGACAAAGAGAAGACAGGAAAACTGAAGCAAGTCCCTGCCCCTAGTTTTGGCAGTGAAGTAGCTGAAATGGACCTGGCACCCTGCTTTGAACTGTATTAAATTTTTAAAATTAAAAAAAAAAAGAGTTACCTCTTTTGGTCCAAGAAATTAATGGAATTTGTAACAGAAATTATATATATGGATATTCCAAATGCTAACAATACTAGCTGATAAACAGAATGGTAGGTAAATATTAAATTGATAAGGAAAGCTGTCTCTCCTTTTCGCCACCATCCTGGTTGTGTGTGGTTGACCGTTCTTGCCTTGTCTTCTCACAAGACTTTCAGAATCAAGCGATTCCTGGCCAAGAAACAAAAGCAGAATCGTCCCATTCCCCAGTGGATTAAGATGAAAACTGGTAATAAAATCAGGTAGAGGGATGCCTGGGTGGCTCAGCGGTTGAACGTCTGCCTTTGGCTCAGGGCATGATCCTGGAGTCCTAGGATCGAGTCCCACATCGGGCTCCCTGCATGGAGCCTGCTTCTCCCTCTGCCTGCGTCTCTGCCTCTCTCTCTGTGTGTCTCTCATTAATAAATAAATAAAATCTTAAAAAAAATAAAATAAAATCAGGTACAACTCCAAGAGGAGGCACTGGAGAAGAACCAAGCTGGGTCTATGAGGAAGCATTGCACAGCATGAAATAGCAAACATAATTGGCACACATATTTAAGCTGCATGGAGATCACATGCTCCTATCCTATCGTATGGAAACAACCTCCCTACCTGGCCAATAGACACGTCTTATCAAGGAAATGATTTTCTCTGTTACTTTGCCTCTATACCAGTAGGTTGGTTCAGTAATAAATGTGAGACCTTTCAGCTGAGCTGCTGTTGTGTTCTTATTTGTGAAGTACTGAATTCCCCCTCCTGTCAGATCTCACATAGCACTGTCTGATAGAACTTTCTGCAGTGATAGAAATGGCCCTTGACAACCAAGTATTTAAAGTGCGGCTAGGGGACACCTGTGTGGCTCTGTCTGCTAAGCATCTGCCTTTGGCTTAGGTCTTGACAGGGAGTCTGCACATCTCCCCCTCTCTGCTCTTCCCCCTGCTCATGTGCTCTCTCTCAAATAAGTAAAATCTTAAAAAAAAATTGATCAGGAAAGCTTTCATAATTTTTTTTTCAAAAAACTTAAAAGATAGTAATTTAACAACATATGCTATAATTATTGTAATAATTTACATTTATGAAGCATTAATTGCTTTGGGGGTAACATGCTAAGTACCTGTAATCCTTAAAATAGGTACTATTAGTATAGTCACTTTATAGATGAGGAAACTGAAACTTAACTAATTCATTCAATAATTTCTCAAGAACACACAGCCAGTAAGCTATGGAAATAGAATTTAAACCAGATGTATTAGAGCTTTTATTTATCTATTCAAGAGAGAAAGAGAGAGAGAAAGCAAGAGAGAGACAGACTGAGCAAGCGTAGGAGCAGGCGGGAGGGCAGAGGGAGAAGCAGACTCTCTGTTGGGCTGGGAGCCCTATGTGGGGTCTCATCCCAGGACCTGAGCAGAAGGCAGGCACTTAAAGGACTGAGCCACCCAGGTGCCCCTAAACCAGATGTGTTAGGTGTCAAAGTCTATACTGTTAACCAGTAGCCATTTTACCACGTTTATAATAGCAAAACAGTGGAAACAATTTGAATTTAAACAATAGGAGATTGGTTAAATTATAGTCTAGTCAATAATAACAGTTAATAAAGCAATGCTTAGGCAGCCAGGGTGGCTCAGTGGTTTAGCGCCTGCCTTTAGCCCAAGGCGAGACCCGGGATCGAGTCCCACGTCGGGCTTCTGCATGGAGCCTGCTTCTCCCTTTGCCTGTGTCTCTGCCTCTCTCTCTGTGTCTCTCATGAATAAATAAATAAAATCTTTTAAAAAAAATACAGCAAAGCAATGCTTAAAAGACTATTTGATGACATTAAAAATGTAAATAATATATTTCTAAGTGAAAAAAAAAGGCAGGTTACAAGCACTATGTTTAACATCAGCTCGATTTCGTAATATACATTTATTTAGTTGGAATACTTATCTACACCAAGCGTTAGAGATGATATCTCTAGGTGTTGCAATTATGGTATTTTTTTCCATGTTTGAACTTTTCTACATTTTCCAAGCTTTCTACAATTAACACGCATTACTTTTTAAAATCTGTAAGACCCTTCGATATTATTTCACATAGAAGCCAGAAATTAGTAAGAGGATTACCATCATCAATTTTATCATAACGGAAACTTTGTGGGGAAAGAAGGGTGGGGAGAGCTGCACATATTGAATGTTGCTGTGACACAAGGCATGTTCTTTCATAGGTGTAGCCACCAGTGCAGATATGTCTCATAATTTTCCATTAGCTGATATCATATTAACTGGGGTCATGAGTAAGCACAATCATATCGTAATCATTTTCCTCCTTCTTGAATTGCTTTCCTCCCTTGGCTTCAGTGACTGCTCCTATTTTCCATCTACTTTATTGGCCTTCCCCTTTTCAACCTGCTTTGCTGGTTCCTTCTCCTCTCCTCACCTCCTCTTCACCACCCATTTTGGAGGAAAAAAATATATATATCCACATTAAAATGCCTTTGGGAGGGATGCCTGGGTGGCTCAGTGGTTAAGCACCTGCCTTTGGCTCTGGCGTGATCCTGGAGTCCCGGGATCCAGTCCCACGTCGGGTTCCCTGCATGGAGCCTGCTTCTCTGCTCATGTCTCTGCCTCTCTATGTCTCACATGAATAAATGAATAAAATCTTTTATTAAAAAACATAAAAAACTGCCTTCAGGAGCCCAGCCATTAGCAAACGAGTGAAGTAAATCCTTGACGTCACTGGTAACTCTTCCTCTAGCTCAACGCCAGTTTATTCCACTCCAGTTAATAGCATATCCGTCGATTGGTCAAGTCCAAAATCCAAATGGCATTTTTTATTGCTCCCTTCTCTTCATCTTTACCCTTCACATACAGTATATCGGCAAATCCTGTTGGTTCTATTTTCAAAATATTGCTTGAGTCTTTTTCTTTCCCTTTTCAGGCTCCATTTTGCTTAGGCTATTTGTTTATCCTAAATGATCTTTTGCTTTTATCTTTGCTTGCCCTCCTTCCATTCTTCACACACATCCAGTCATTCTAATCTCTGATTTTGAAATTGAAAATTCAGAAGATGTGGCTCTGGTCTTTCTTTTCTTTTTTTAACTGAAAAGTTAAGATTTACCTAGCTTGTCTGAGTTATCACCATTCAGAATTAACTTAATGGTACCAAAAAATGCATTCACTTTGGTTTCCTAAGAGTCGAATATTTGTGAACCTAAAAAAAATATATTTGCTCATTTGTTCTGTTCACTTTGTGCATCATCACCTTGGTTAACAATTGAGGGAGAACTGAAAAAAAGGAAAATTATGTTCTATTCTTAATTCTCACCCATCTGTAAATAATAAAACAGAATGCTGAAATATGCATTGTAGTCTGGGGTGGCTTACCAAACTAGTTTATACTTAAGTTAGTCTTACCTCATTTTTCCAGGCCTTCAATTCATTGAATAGCTGCTGTGCATTTTTTTTTTTTTTTTGCCTTCTAAGCTTCTACAGCTATGACTCATGGAACTAGATCAGCACTGCTATGTGCTACTTTCTGTATTATATTTTTCTCAACTGGTTAAAATTGATATAAGCAAAACACGTTTTGTTCTTCTAAAGCTTAAACACAAAGCTAAACTGTCTAACAGTCTTCCATTAAGAGAAGTTGGGTTTAGCAGAAGAATAAAGATTTCTAATTTTTTTTATATAACATAATTTCCTCCAGTTATTTCTTCCATAGCTGCAAATTATAGAACTTCCAGCAATCTTATTTAGATCCTGGAAATTAGAGTACATTTTCCTAAGTGGTAATTTTTTATTTACTTAACCACATTTTGCTTTAGAAATAGACTATAGCTGGTTCAGTCAGTGGAGTATTCAGCTCTTGTTATCAGGGTTGTGAGTCTGAGGCCCACATTGGTTGTAGAGATTGCTTAAAAATAAAATCTTAAAAAAGAAAAAAAAACTATTTTGAAGTTGGCACTGTTTCTGTGTTGCTTTTAACATGAAATCTAGCAAATGTTACTTTCTTTACACAGAACTCTCAATTCTTCTCCCTTCTGATTTATAAGACCATTGCTTTCGAAACAGAAATAATCTAAATGAGTGATAATAAAAATCTTCATATAAGTTATTTTAAATAACATCAAACTATATTTCATCAAAGGAGTATTATGAAGTAAGAAATAAGTTAGTTTAGTGGCTATAAACTTTGGCTTCACATTGGAATTACCTAGGAAACTGCAAAAAATGCTGATGTCTGGGTCCTAATCAAGATTCTGATTTAATTGGCCTGGGCATTGGGATTTATAAAAGGTTTGAAGTGATTCTAAAACATGGCCAAGGTTGGGGTGCCTGGGTGGCTCAGCTGGTTGAGTGTCCAACCTCTGGTTTCACTGAGGTCATGATGTCAGGGTCACGGGATCAAGCAGGTCATCTAGTGGATATTCTCTCTTTCTTCCCCTTCCACCTCTCAAATAATTTACTTTTTAAAAGATTTTATTTATTTATTTGAGAGAGAGAGTGAGCGAGAGAAAGCACATGAGCAGGGGCAGAGAGAGAGGGAGAAGCAGACTTACAGCTCCTAGAAGTCTACATATTCCTATCACGCCTTTTTAAAAAGATTTATTTATTTGTGAGAGAGACTGAGAGAGTGTGGGAGTGCCAGCACACAATGGAGGAGGGCAGGAGAGGAAGAAACTTCAGACTCAGCACTGAGTGTGGAGCCAACGGGGGAGCTCGATCTCATGCCCTTGAGATCATGACCTGAGATGAAACCAAGAGTCAGTCACTTAACTGACTGAGCTCTACCCAGGGAACCTCCTTCCCTTTTTTTTTTTTTTTAAGATTTTTATTATTTTTAAAGTAATCTCTATATCCAATGTGGGACTTAAACTTGTCACCCCAAGATCAACAGTTGCATACTTTTCTGACTGAGCCAGCCAGGTGCCCTTCCACCCTCTTTTTTAAAAATGTGGTTTAAAACAACACAGATTTATTATCTTACAGTTCAGGGGTCAGAGGTCCAAAATGGGTTTCACTGGGATAAAAATCAAAATATTGGCAGGGCTGCATTCTTCTGGAGATTGCAGGTGAGAATCTGTTTTCTTACCTTTTCCAGCCTCTAAAAGTTGCCTGAATTCCTTGGCCTGTGGCCCCCTTCCTCTGTGTTCAAAGACATCAGTCTAGTGTCTTCAAACCTCTCACTGACTCTAACCTTTGTTTCCCCCTTTCACTTACAAGGACCCCTAACTTAATCATCTGCAAATCCCCCTCCCCTCCCTTTTTTTAAAAAAGATTTTATTTATTTATTCATGAGAGGCACAGAGAGTGAAAGGCAGAGACACAGGCAGAGGGAGAAGCAGGCTCCATGCAGGGAGCCCGATGCAGGACTCAATCCTGGTACTCCAGGACCATGCCCTGAGCTGAAGGCAGACACTTAACCGCTGAGCTACCCAGGTGTCCCGATGCAAAGTCCTTTTTTTCATGTGAGGCAATACAGTCACAGGTCCCAGGGGTTAGGATTCAGACACCATTGAGAGGATATTCGACTGCCTACCACAAGCCCCATAGTCTGTAGTATTTTCTCCTTCCAACTTTACACACTCTGCTTGGTGATCTTTCTTATTCTAGTGAATGATGCCATATTTC